GATTAAAAAAAAAAAATTATACAATTTGTTTTTTTGTATATTCTAGTCCCCCTTATATATCCTAATAATATAATCTAGTGTATATATACTAAGTTACCACAAATAATTGAACAAGAAAAATTGTACCAAGAAATCTCGAACCCCTAGAATCAAGATGATTTCTCGGTCTCGAGGGTACAAAAATTTCGTGTACGATAATTAATTAGTAAAATCTATTTTAAATTTAAATCTAATCTAACACCGATCAAAACCGGTAATCAGTGACACCGTGGAAGTCTTGAAGTCAGTCAATGATCTTAACACCATGGATTCAGTAATATCCATTACCTCCTCAGTTCAGTTCCTTCTACAGCACTTTGCTCTAACCTCTCCAAGTGGAGCAGTCAACACGTGGTGGTCTGACAATTTCTTCAGACACATGGCAAAGTCTCGGCGAAACAGCATTCTATCATCAGAAGCATACGCTCTCACCCATTCCACAGTCTCCTCTTGGAGAATGCATGGCCGAACCCGAATCAGAATTGATGTTTTGACGGTTCGGTTCCTAAAATTTTGGTTTGCTTTCTCAGCTCGAGTTTTAATTTAATGTTCAGCATATCAAATGAATTATAAACGAATTTGGTCTTGGAATTTTTGATTAGGTTAAAACGTAAAAGGGCATATTATTAACACATCACATAAGCATATAATAGTAATCTACAAAGATTACATGTATAACAACATCAAAACATGTCACACGGACTATATTCACACATCACTGGACATGTAAGACCATGTTCTTGAATTCATCAAAATCAATAACACCATCAAGATTCTTGTCATGGACTCGAATCATTCTCCTACAATCCCAAGCCTTCGCCTCCTCCTCGAACCCAAGCCGTTCCAACACAGCCCGAAGCTCCTCCGACGAAATATAACCATCTCCGTTCACATCAAACACATTAAACGCCCTCATGATCGCTTCATCATCATCAACGACATTAATATCGTTCTTCGTTCCTCTGCTATTTGAAACGACGTCGTAGTAGAACCGAAGGAACTCGTCTAAATCGAGGCTCTGTTTTCCAACGATCAGTTCAAGCTCATCGGGAGTGTGTTCGGTCCAACCGAGTCTTTCAAGAATCCAATGGAGCTCGTCGAGGGTCACAAGCCCATCTTGGTTCTTGTCGAGCTTCTCGAACATTCTTTGGAGATCGTTTGTGGTAATGAATGAACAATCCATATCTCTGTTTGTGATCAAAAGAAGGGTAGTAGTTTTGGACCTTTTGGTTATGTTGGCGAAATAGGTATAGAGAGTTTTGGAGAAAGTTTCAAGCTTTATCGTCTATAGTCAAATTACACACAAATAGCTCTATATATACACACACGAGTGTGTGCGTACGGTGTACTTGTGGACGTGAAAGATCGAAGACCGGAGGAAGTTTCCGCGAAAGGGTTTATGAAAATGACTAATTTTCTGAAAAATGACGTTTCTAGAAGAAAGGTCTTCAATAATGGCAATTAATCAATTTTTTTGTTCTTTTTCAACTATTATGACATAGTATATCTAAATTGTGTGTGAAAAACGGATGGTTTATTGGTTTATGATTCGTCTACTTGTGATCTTTGAATTTTTATATAGACGGTAAACATATAAAATTATGATATATATAAACCTAAATCATGATTTTGCTTGGTGTATGATTAATAAAAACATTTGAATCGATGATGATCCATCCTTTATTAGTCGGAATTAATATACTCTAGATTTTTTTTATAAAAGGATGAATCAGAATCTATTATATAATTAGAGAGTTATCTCTTTTTTTAGAGTGTCACATCATCAAAACAAACAATTTTATATCAAAAACTATTTCAAATATTCATTTAATTTATATTTATTCATATTAATTATACTTTTAATACAACTCTCAATTTATATAATATAAAACACAATAAATTAAGTAAGATATGAAGAATGCCGTCATTAATATTAATATATGAAAAATGAGATAAAATTATAATGAACTTGATAAAAATTAATAACTCAAATAATATACTAATAAAAGTAATTACAATAATATAATTTTGGATTGGAGAAATATGGATTTAATTATGAATGCTTATATGAACAATGGCAAAATTTGGTAGAAAGATGCACAATGTCACTTAAATTGTTTTTAAGAAAATGAGTGTTATTGTATAAAAAAGGGGCAATTACAAAAGTGTCATTTTTTGTGTGCACATATACAAGAATGCCACTTAGGGGTGTCTATTTACAAAAATGCCACT